GGGGGGAGCGTTGCACGTGCTGCATCGTCTCCGCCGACATCTTCTGCAGTGCCTGCCTTTGACTTTTTACAGCAGGAAGCATCGGCCGACACCGTCGTTCCGCTCGTGCACCCACACGACCAGCGTCCTGGAAGCTGCGGAAGATAGTCACATATGTGCTGTTTGTACCAACAAGCAACGGGTCGTCTTTCTGTGTGTATTTTCCTAAACAACACCTAGGTTAAACTCCTGCGTACCTTCTCCCTGTGTGACCCCGGCTGATAGGTCAGAAATGTACACCGATAAGTATGTGGGCTGGCACCAGAAAAGATGGGACGGACACCCACACGCCGTCCGTGTGCCGTTCGTGTACCCTCTGGTAACTTGTAACAACCACTTGGAAACCTTGGCGTAGATTTAACAGTGCTGATGCCTGGAGTTGCGCCGCACCCAAAACATGCTCGCGCAGCAGCTGCCAATCTACGATTGGCTGCCACAGCACGTACAAATCAACAAGACAGAAGCGTGGCAGGAGCGTACCAAGTGCCTCCAATTAACAGGTCCATGCTGACGACACGTGTCTCAAGCGTCTCTCGTGATGTACCACTGCAAAAAGTACAGCTCAAGACGGGACCTTCAAATCGCTCACCTACGCCGCTCATGATCGTGTACATCGGTCGTTCGCTACAGTTTACCTGCCCCTTGTATCGGTCGTTCCCAAGCTCAGGCACGAGACGCTCCAGCGCCACTGCTGGCTCCAGCGACCACGGCCCTCCCGTGGCCCTGGCGTACCTATCAAGCTTATCGCTCGGACTGCTGCTGGTGCTGGTGCTCGCCATCACGACGACGGCTGCTGTACGACGATGATGATGAACGTCAATGTCGGAGGGTGGCGCAAACGCGGCCACCAGGATGGCGACTCCCCGCTGCAAGGACAATCGAGGCGGCAACCGTGCGTGCCGCAACAACTGCATAGGGCCAGAGGCCAAATAGAGACACAGGTGGACAGATGGACAAGAAAGGGCACACCGATATGACTGGACTGCACTGCTGTGGACTTTGGCAGGCAGAGCCGGGTGCTCCGTATTTCATGACCTCGTGCCGAGGGGGGCTCAGAACTCGAAGATCCACCGCCGCCGATCGCTATTGCGCGGCGGCTAATGTGGGTTATGGCAACACATAACCCCGCACGGCAGGCACGGCAGAGGATGCGCTGCGATTGGGATCATGAGGCGCTCTCGAGGCGGAGAGCGGTGGCAAGTCTTCTCGTCTTCGCCAAGGAGCTGGAGAGGGCGGGGCGGATCTCGAAAGCGAGTAAGGGCCTCCTGAAAGGTGCGGTGCGTTGTTGGGTGACGAGTAGACTACAACGGCAAGCTCCGTGGGGACACCGAGTATATCCATACATATCCATCCATGAGATCTTTATTTTGTCACCGCCATCCTGTCGTGTGCACCCTGTCGTCTACTATTCCTTCGTTAGCTCTGATCTCTCCGCAATAGCAGAGTCAACCGGTATATACAACGCCCCTGTCTCTCCCGGTAAATCAGCAATGTATCGCCCATTTTCTTGCGCGCGGTTTGTTCCACCCGCAACGCGCATGCATGCATGCATTCATGTGTGTGTCTTCGTTACTAGCATCGACCGCGCTAACCGACAGACCAATGAAAAGCCGTCAGTCTTAGTACGGTTGAAAACACAAGACCTTTCTATCTGCCATGAAGTGGGACCCCGTGAGGGGGCAGCATGTTGTTGTTGTTGTTGTTGACTTCACATTAAACCGTATGCCAGTTGCTAAATGCCAAAATCTAGCAAAGACTCTCAGCCCGTGGTCACGAAAGTGCTAGAGCCATCTGAGGATCTAAAGAACACGCACACGTAGCAAGAAAAAGGTATCCAAGAGCCCGAAGAGGTACTACTACACCTATATATAATCCCTGCAGCACCGTACGCGTGCCCAAAACTGAACTACACGTCCGTCTCACCGTTCGACTACAG